AAATTTTTTAGACGGTAAAACCTTCACCTCAAATGAGGAGGTCAAAAACCTCCTCGATCAGTTTTTTGCCAGCAAAGACCAAAAATTTTATGAGCGTGGAATTATGCTACTACCAGAAAGATGGCAAAAGGTGTTGGACCAGAACGGTCAATATATAATTTAATTTAAAGTATTTGTTTATTATACGAAAACTTTCCACAAAAAAAAAACGAAATGACTTTCCGAACAACCCTATAGAGCGTAATGCGAAACAGTGCTAAACGAGGCTATCTTAACATGTAAATAATGGGGTAAGGGGAAGATGGATAGAAAATTGATTAGGTATTAAATTTAATAATGATGTTTTTTCAATAAAAATAAAACCAAACATTTATTTCTTATTAAAAAAAAATAAAATTCTAAGTCAGATCATTCACTCTATTCTGTTTCCGATTTTCTGTCTGTTTGTCAAGAAGGCATTTAATGTAGTTTACGTTTTCCTTTTGCGTTCTGTTAGAAGTTGTCGATAAGTGGATAAAACATCTACAAGACCCCATCTTGCTTTCGAACTTCTGTAAAAATTTGGATCATTTTCAACAAATTGGTCCATAAAACCTAGCTCTGTGCACAATTTCGGGGAATCCCCGGGTAGAAATAAAAGAGCGCTAAGCCGAAACAGCGTTAAGCGGGGTCTTACTGTACATTAGAATCATACTTGTATGATCGAAGATTTTTCTTTGACTTAATAATATGACCAGGCTGGTTCTTACTTATATTTTTCAAGGTTAGCAATTATAAGTTTAGTGGTACATAAACAGCTAAATAATTAATAACTTTAATTTTTTAGTGAATTGCAACAAAAACAATGCAAGAACTTCTACCTTCTTAATTTAATTTTTGGTTAAATAAAATAATTCGAAGTGGTCATTATTCTGTCGAAACTGCCAGACGCGGATCGCGATTTCGATCTTTTTGGATCTCATCAGCGTGTCACAGGCAGCTCCGACAGATATCCATATACTTAAATGGACCTTGCTGAAGCATACGTAATCCTAAAATGTAGCACTGTACTACAGATGGCGTTTACAGTGCCATTTGTCGTATTTCCTTAATTTTTGATATTTATTACTTTTTTTACTTGTTCATCGGCAAAGCGAGTTTGGTATTCGTTTTAGCAAACACAGATTTCTAGTGCTGGATTTACACTAGGGGCACTAGGGGCTAGTGCCTAGGGCGGAAAATTCCCAGGGGCGACAAAATTAGGGACATTTTTTTGGGCTATCAAAAATGTTTAAAAAAGTGTGCATTTATCTGAAAAATAGTCAATCAATCAAATTTTTCGTTATTTTCGAGTTCAAATCGTGGTTTTCATAGCGTAAAGTCAAAACGTATTCTGTACCCTCATCCATTCTGTATAGAACATGGGCAATGGGGCGGCATTATTTACGGTTCCCAGGGCGACACTAAGGAAAAATCTGGCCCTGTAGATATCGTTAGTCTTTTAAAAATTACACAATTACGACCAAGGTCACAACGCCAAGGCCATTTTAGTTTCATGAAGTTGTATAAAAAACATTAACAATTACTGACATCAACCACACAAAAACAAGATTAAATACAAACGAACTACAAGTAATTAGAAATACGTACGTGGATTTAAAGAACCGTTGCAAATAATGTGTGGAAGTGTGCGATTAGTTGGTTTATTCATACAATTCCATAATGTTCATTATCATGGTCATGCCAAGTGGTTTCATTATTTTAATGTCAGTCTAGCATGCAATAATAATTGTGCGTTAAAATGGCTACTAAGCGCAGGTAGGTTATTCACTTGCACCACGAAACCAGCATTATAATGGTTGATGGAAACGCATAGCGTTAAGTCAGATGTAATACCTACAGTTATTATTAAAAATTTTATGGGCTCTTCTATCTCATTATCTGATACATTTTTTTTTAAAAGTAGCCTTTTATACGAAAAGTATTACACAGATGTTTCAACATTTTCTGTGAAAGTGTGATAGGTTAAAATAATTCGCTTTAATTCCGGATATAAAATTGTATCATCTAGATTTAATAAGTTATTAATTATTTAGCATATTGACAAAAAAAATAGCATTAAAATAACAGAAACACGTTTCTTAATCATCAATGTGTATTTTTGTAACACTTTTTAGTTTGCTCCATCAAAGCGCAGCACCCTTTTTCTATTTAATCGTATGTATGTATAAGCAGGCTGGGATGCACGCTGTCACCGCTACTTTTTAATCTATACATCGAAGACGCCATCAACATCATTAAAGACAGTACAACTGTAGGGATAGACGTAAAAGAGCAAAAGATTAGTATGCTTAGATTTGCAGATGATATAGCAGTATTAGCATCTAGCAAGGAGGACCTAGAGATAGCTTTAAATAAAATGGAAGCGGTACTGACAGATCAGTACTGTATGAAAATAAATAAAAGTAAAACTAAAATACTGATATGCAAGGGAAGAAAAAGTAGGGAAAGAGCGAATATAAAGATAGGAGACGAAAAATTAGAAGAAGTGGCTGATTTTAGATACCTAGGAAGTCAGATAAGTGAGGATGGAAGGAGTAGTAGGGATATAAAGCAGAGGATAGCGCAGGGTCGTGTCGCCTTTAATAAAAAGAAGTCACTTCTATGCTCGCGAACGGTTAATTTAGAAATTAAAGGTGTATGTTTGGAGCACGGCGTTGTACGGGTGCGAAACGTGGACAGTGGGCGCGGCGAAAAAGAAAAGGTTAGAAGCGTTCGAAATGTGGTGTTATAGGCGGATGATGAGGATATCGTGGGTAGAAAAGGTTAGAAATGAAGAGGTATTGAACAGAATAGGAGAACAGAGGATTCTATGGAAGTCAATAAAAAATAGGCGAGATAGGTTGGTAGGACACCTTCTTCGGCATGAAGGTCTAGTCAGAGACATATTAGAGGCAGAAACAGGAGTTAGGAGTAGACCTAGATTAGATTACTGTTCGCAAATAGTTAAGGATG